AATTCTTGAGCGTCTCCCATTGATTTCGATAAACCCAGTTCAATCTCTTAACCAGAACGCAATCCATAACACATAAGCTTTAGGAATACCTAACCTTAATAATTTACCTAAGCAATCCTCCCACCACAACTGATCAAAGGCCTGCTTAAAATCAACAAATACCGTAGCTAGTGGGGAACTATTACTCATTAAAGAGGATATTTGGTGAGATTGTAAGAGAGGAGATTGAGACAGGAGATTGAGAGAGGAGATTGTAGACAAAACTTTGCCCTAAATCCTGACTGTGAATCATGAAGAATACCTCTTTTTGCAAGCATACGTTGAAAACGAACCAAAAAAAGACGTTCCAAAACTTTCAAAAAAACATCGAGTAAAGATATCGGACGCGTGTCCTCCAACAAACAGATAGAATCTTTCTTAGCAAGAAGTTTCATTCGCACCCTTTTCCAGTAAGAAGGACCACAAAGGAAGAGAGAGAAAGATTAAAAATTTGTAAAAGCCGAACCCAAAAAGATGTGGGAATAAACTGAAACATAAAGGAAGAAATACCATTAGCATCACATCAATGTTTTTTCTTTCTCTTAGAAACTACTTTCAAAAGTTCAGGAAGAGTGATAGGAGGAATTAATTCTTCGAAATTTTCCCATTTTATTTCGGGGGAGTCCACATAAGGATGAGGACGATAGACCGTCGGTTTTTCGAATAATTTCTCATAGAATTTCTCATAGTCATGTTCAACATATTATCTTCATCTTTGACCACAACACCGTTCTCATCGAGAAACGCAGTAAGAGAACTAGCGATTTTGAAATTTTTCTTTAGTTTAGACCAAAACGACACAGAATGAAAAGAAGAAAACCGTTCCTTGATTGATTTAATCATCTTATTCGAAAGGAATAAACATAGTTCGTTCTTATTGTTTCTCCTCATTTGTTTCACTTTCGAGAGAAGAGAGTTGTCACCCGTTCTTTTTTGCTTTAATGATAACGCATGTGTGTATGATAATTTTAGACATAAATCATTTGAAATAGCAACACGATATTTTCTCGATAGATCTCGGTTACAAAAACTAAGCTTTTTATGACAAAAGCATTGATTAGATCACAAGAAAAAAATCTAGTTAAGCTTATGCTAAGGTAAACATGTTTTAGATCTTGCAATATTTGAGTGCATAAACTGTCTTTATTCTTCATCTAATTTGTACTAGTTTTCTGGTAAATATTCAGATCATGTATTTAACAAAACAAATGAAAATAGACAGAGAGACACTCGAACTGTGTGATGAGATACTATCATTAGTACCAACTGGAGAAATGTGTATGCTAATATAAAGAAGGATATAAGTTGTCAAATGATGTGATATGCTTCCTTGATGACGGTATTATATAACGCGTACATTCCTAGTTAGTAAATATGTTGATATTCTTTTCAAACTCAAAATACACTTCACCCAACTAGATCGCTACATCTTTGTACAATGTATACGATTTCCGAGATCTAAACCATGTTTTCTGGTGATACAGATGAATCAGGATATATTACATGCTTTTTCCCATGATCTTTTACATGCTTTTGGCATAAAAAGATTTAGTTTTCTTAACCAAGATCTTTTGCATGTTTTTTGCCGAAATTTTGTCAACCAGGATCAAAAGCATGTTATTTCCGTGATCATTTCTCATTTTGTCCAATGTACTGATTGTTTTTGTTCAAAACAGCAACTGTAATAAACATTCATTTTAACACATTTATATTTCTATGAAAAGATAGAAAATTAGATGTGTCATGTAATCGAAAGTTCCGCTTGTTTTCTTTTAAAGGCATCCGCTTTCTCATTTTCAGCTCAGCAATTTATCCTATTTCTCTACATTTTGTACGATTTGTTAAGGTGGCATTTCTTAAGTCATACAGAGGGAACGCTGTCGAGAAAGAAGTTTTTGCACCCGTGGCCGCGAGTATATTTAGGCAAAGAAGATTTTTAAATTTTGGATTCTGTCACTAATTATTGTGCTCAATAGACCGCTCTGGCGAAAAATTGTATTGAAACAAGATGGTTGGATTTTTACCTACTGCTTTTAGCTACGATTGTTTGTTTGTAGTTGACCTATTGGTTGCTGATTCAGTTAATATTTCTAGCATAACCAAGAAATAAGTACGTACTGTTGAATGTCCAGTAATAGGATTGTTTTGTCAATGTTGATATTTTTCCACTACGAAATGATCAACTATTGGAACATCGTAACAATGAAATAATATTTCTCGTTTTCAATCTATATGCTCGGCTACACATATGCGATATGATTCCTACACATATGCAAAAATTCCGAAAGACCTTGGAATTCCAAAAAAATGCTTGTTCTTTTAGAGAGTAAGAACACCAAATGGTACTGTACAGTACAGTCGCTGAAAAAGCAACTCGATTAGCAAACCAAAACAACATCTTTTCTTCATCAACAACCAACGGTCAATACATCTAAGCGTTCCTGGGACCGGATATCTAAACGATTTTATTCTGTTTTTCTTTTGTTTTTCAGTCTTCGGTCGACCCTGCCCACTTTCTTTTTTTTGTTCTCTGGAATTAAAAATATCCTTAACCGTATTTTACAATACGAGTTTGGTACTTTGGTGTACCCTTGGAGGTATTTCTAAGTTCACAGATTTCAAAGAAACATAGTAGTCACTCAGAGATTCCGTAAAGGGTACCCCGGTATAGATATACTCTTTCTTGGTTCTGCAGGATGCGCAAAAACTTTTAGTGTATGGAACAACCAAAAAAGGAGGAGTGTCATAATCCTGATACGTTGGGTATCCCAGTTTCATCCTTTCTTACGGCTCTAGCTTACAAAGAGGTTGAGAAGGATGAGCAGGTTGACTATGATGGGTAGGTTTAGTAGGATGAGTAAGTTGAGTAGGATGAGTTGGTTGAGTATAGATTAGAGAACTTTACAATTGGGTGCAAAGCGCATACTGTTTTATGAAATGTAGATTGAGTTTTTATTTTCTTCAGCTACACATGAGCCAGTCTTGTTGTTCTATTCTCATAATCAAAATCCTATTAGATATCCCAGAAGACGTTGTTCTGTAGATATAGTACCTTCTAGGGTTCCTGAGTAATCATACTAAAGCGTAGTAAAATCGTACTAAGATTTTGTTGGTTTGTGTGTCTCTCTTTGTGCATGTCGAATAGTGGCTTAATAAAGAGTATCAAACTTAAGGCTTTGCAGTATTATAGCTTCTAATAGTATTCTGATCGTTGTCAGCTTGACACAGCCGGATTTTTGATACCGTTTTTTCTCAAAAACTCGAGAAACTCCTTTGAAGTTTTCTACAAAACTCTGTTTTATTAAAAATTTAAAGAATAAAGCAAAGATCGGGCTCTTTCATCCTGCAGCTATATCCTACAATTAAAAAAAAACAATTAAGTCTTTGCGACGAACTGTAACGAAAACTTTTGGGAAATATCGATGCCATCCGCGCAAAAAATGTATTTATAAAATAGAAGGAAAGAAAATATCAGACGCATTTGCTGCTTTTCGTAAAACTCTGTTAACTTTTGACTATATCATCATGAAGAGCCGGCAAACGTCTCATTTTGAAGAGAAATCTTTGCAAAAAGCGATCAACTCATTCAGAAAAACTTTTAAAAGTATTTTAACCGGAGAAAGTGATAAATATGAAAAACCGGTTTTTTCAAGGAAAACACTTTTCAGAAACCACTCAACACTTTCGTTGTATGTGATTGAGTAGGTTACAAGGCGGAAAAAGCGACTTTTTTCTTTCTTAGCATCGGAGAACATCCCTCTGCATCGGATGCTGAGCATCTCAACCATCGGAAAAGATTTCAACGGCTCCGGACAGCTCCTGGAGCCGTCTTTGTTCCCTTGGTAGGTTGACTATGTTGAGTAGGTTAAAAAAAGAAAAAGTGTTATCATAATACGGATACAATGTATTTGAATACTGCGTACAGGTCCGGATATAATAAAACGTTTTAGTGACTCACTCTCATGCTCACTCTCATTAATTATACATTTTGAATGGAGATAAAATAAAAATTACGAAACTAACTCAAATAAATTTAAAAAACGAACAAAAAAACGAAATTTGATTTTGATCGATTATTTTTGCAAAAAAAGTAGGTTTCTTCACTAACAAATTAAAAAGTTCTCACATTAAATCGATGCAAACTAATTTTTAACTCCGAATTAGTTTAAATTCATTCAAAAACGTTGACTCCAAGCCAAAATTTACAGTGGCTACTCAACCTATTCAACATAGCCAACCTACTCAGACTACGTTATATATTATCATCATTACATACACATCCGTAACCAACTCATGCATTTTGAGAATTTTTGCGTTACACGCCACACCCGTATTTTGACCGTTGTTTCACGGTACGCTGTGTAACAGGATTGTGGGAGCTCTGCAAAAAAGGGTATTTCCATTCCAGGATACCCTTTTTGGAATCTGTAAGTGACAAATGCAGATACCCTCTTTGTTTTCGTTCTGCGGAATGAGGAATACTCTCAAAGAAACCTTATAAAACCAAAAAGGGTGCACTGAAATATCAAAATGGCAAGACAAAATACAGTTAAGGGTAGTTCTAATTCCACTAAACCAAAAAAGGGAGGGTCTCTGCATTTGTTGTGTACCCCAAAAAGGGTATCCCAACATGGAAATACCCGTTTTTGCTTCTATTTTTTAGAGCGTACGATGTAGTATTCCGAGCACCACATTTTGCTCTATCGCGCTTTAAAGTAAAGGTTTATTTCGAGTCAATAATCGTGAAATTCATTTTTTCATATATTGCAAGGTGGTTTTTGTTATTTTCTACATAATGCCCTACTATAACTAAAGCATAGCTTGCCACTTTAGCGGAAAGCTCATTATGGCCTGTCAGCGTTAGTCCATCGACTTCTTTAGACGAACGATTATCGAGGAAACAATTGTGCCACACACAACATGAACTTTTTATTTGTAGATTGAACAACTCCTGATTCAGCATGGATATCAGAGTCATAGGAGGACGTAAGTCAGCCACTGTATCGCCTGCTTCTGTACCAGTAAGTATGACTTAGAACAGAATGTATAGCAAATATATTTCACTAAATGTTTTCTCATTTAAGGCTCAAGCACAGACCCCCATTAGGTACATACACTGTTCTCTCTTACACTCATATTCTTACTATGTTTTGTATTCATTTTCCAAGACCTACTAACAAAAACACAAAATTTATTGCAATAGTGGGTACAATATTAGCTGTGCTAGCCATTGCTATCGCTGTACTAGCAACAATTCTCGTGAGGATATCAAGTAAAAGGCACTGAAAGGTTGAGAAATGACATGTGTACCCATTCTTCTTTTTGTAGAAGAATCACCGTCAGCGTCAAATGAGCTTCAAACAACTACAAATAATAGTAAATATTGAATAACATGTCATTTTTGATACTTTAATGAGTATTTAGAAATTTCTTCAGTCCATCTTCTGTGACTGTAGTTTTCTCCTGAGTATGTAATCTTTCGAAACTTCTTTTATTATGACTTATTTCATGAATGAGAAGTTGTCCCTTGAAATTGCAACTGAAACTTGTATAAATGCTACAAGAACAAGCTCGAAAATACTTAGCATTTAGCTCCAATACCCCATTATCCGAGACCTACATTTGAATTTTGTGAACTATCCCCACGAAAACTATATATGAAATTTTCGAGATATTATTATCTTAGTTACTACTCAAGTAGCACTACAAATGCGCTCAAGTTTCAAATCCGGGCTAAACAATTTTTGGAGTCCGTTTTCCAGAAATCTTTATAAATATCTGGACTTCATGAAAACCTGTAGACTAGAAGAAAACACTGAACCATGCAGTATTTATAAGTAAACATGAATCCGAGATCAAAGCTGGTTCTGCATGAAATGCGGCACTAAGACTTTGACGAGTATTTCTGGAAAACAGACTCGAAAAAGTTGTTCGATCGGATCTGAACCTTGACCGTGTTTAAAGAGCTACTCGAATCTAAGATAATAATGTATCCAACAGTTCATATGTAGTTTTCGTGGAGCCAGCTCTTAAGGGCAAACGTAGGTCTTAGATGCCGAGCTATTGGCGCTAAATGCAAAATATTTTTGAGCTCGTTCTTGTAGGGTTCAGACAAAGCACCGTGCATGAGAGCAAATATGAAAAATTCAGATGTAGTAGTGAAAATGATATTGAGATACTCAGGGAATCTCAAATCGTCTTTTCGAGTAATGAACAGCCATTCTCGGAACCGTTTCAACTGCAAAACGTTTTGGATATATAAGTGATTTTCCATGCTCTGAATGATGGCCATTTCGAAGGGCTTTCGGATCATGTAATACTGAGTGAAGCTGCGTGGAACTTCCCGTCTTGAAAAATTTAACAATCTTGTTTGTTTCTCTTGAACTGTTGGAAGCTGGCAATCCTAAATAAAAACATCTAATCTTTCATTTCGTACGCTTTACGTCTTGCTAGAAAGTTCTCAATGCGCAGAAGAGACAGATTAACTCCATGTCATAATAAAATTGTTTTCTTGTGACAACCCTTGGGATGGAGAATCAATTTTCACTAATATTTTCTGTTTAAAAATATCTAGGACCAATACTAAGTTACGTCTCTCCACGCTAGTTATGAAAAAACTGATCACTTCTGTATCATCCAGTACACCTGTAAAACGGCATGAAAACTCCCGTATTCAGTTCTTGATTATCCCTTTATTCCTAAAAAAAGAATCCGACTGCTAAGTAGGAATGTTCGATTCTCGGCTCCCTTCTTCGGTTCTTCATCGGAACCGGAACCGCGGTTTTGTAGACGGTTCCTTTTTTTGGACTCGAGACTTTATAACCATAAATACTACAGTTTTATTCGAGAAAGCTATATTTAGCGTTCATAACGTATACTTGTGCGCAACTTCTTTTACATGAGATCTTCTATACCTGGCAAACCAACCGACTCTTCTTTGATAACACATAAAGCCAATATTATTATGTCGTCATACTGGTGATAACAGCACGAAAAACGTTATCCATTTCCCGAGATGTCGTTTCGTTCTTAAGATATTGCATTCGGAACAAAGAACCGAACATCCCTACTGCTAAGAGTGATGCTGCCTACCCATCTTTATGTCAACTATACATACATGTGAATCTCTACCACTTTAGTCGAGACAAAGCACACGACCAAACACACTACATGAAAGCGACGATCTTGTTTTTGTTTTATTTCTAGTGAGTCAGACGACGAGTGCATCAATCATTACCAGTAGTTCCACAACAACTACATCAACACCAGTAATGAACTCTGTCACTGTAGCTCAAAGTACTCCAATTACTACTTTATCCACTACGATGGCATCCATGAATAGCACATCTCAATCAACAACAACGACAAGTTTAGCCACAGCAGCAGGTAAAATATAGAAGAATAAACTTGATTGCTAAACATCGCTAATATTCTCTACCTATAGCCATACCATCTACTTCAACAACCACCGCGGGACAATCAGTAGCAGCCACCACAACATCGATGACTACTGGTGAGATGTTGCTTTTTAGCTTTGATCCTCAATCTGTTTCTGTCAGTTCTAAGCTAGCACCGTCATATTTGAATTATCTTACTCGAATATTAGTTGTATGCTTCAAATCGTATTTCAGATAAGTATTATGGATCAACGGATGGTAGCTATGCCGCAGATTCCTTCACGAATCTTAGTACAGTATTCAATTTTATGGATTCGGTCTCAGCAGCTGGTTATCTGAAAAGTGTCTCAGTCAACTTTTATCAGGCACCTATACCAGGCTCAGCTCAACTCATGTTGTATGTTTTGACACCCTCATCGACCCCAACAAAATTCACAGTTGCGATGCAGTATGTTGTGCCATCGTCCAGTATAACCAATGTCATAGGCACAGCTCAGCAGTTTCTTCTGCCGGCTTATTTAATGAACGTTTCTGTCGGACAGTTTGTAGCCTGTGGATTTGGTCCCGGAGCTGGCAGCGCATATT